GTCGCTGGTAATCAGATCCTCCGCCTCCACCAGACCCTCAGGCAGCCAGTAGGAACGAAAGTAAACCAAACCTGACTATGAAATTGCATTAGATGTCTGCGCTTCGTGGAAAGTGTGTTGGGGTGAGTGCAAAAACTCATTTTGCATTTCCAAACTACCAATCGCACGGCTTCTCAATTTTTTCACATATGCACACTATACTGAATGACGTCAGAGTAGATGTATCCAATCCAAAATATTGCCTTGTCAAAGATTACAAAGCTCCATTTTGATTTTCATTGTCAAGGAACTAAAAAAGTAGATTAACAGTGTTACTGATTGCTTCTGTTTGCGTAGTTTCCCACATTTTTGATGAACTCATTTAACTCCAGTAAAACGTGTTCTCCAATCTTATTTTGACAAACTACAGTTTTAATAGTGATAAATTACTGTCTCACTGACAGTGTCCAGCCAAAAAAGTCATTATGATCTTTACAAAGGCAAACTGGTTCATGCAGCTCTTCTCTCTGACGTCATTGGATCGCGGAGGTGTACCTATTGTTTTGACCCATGAGTGTTACGTCCAGTATGTTGTCGCTTTTCAGTCATTTGCCAATAGTTTTGTCTTTGTTGTCTCGCAGATACTCGCCCGCTCAGACTGGGAACACAAAAGAGGCTCCCGAGGATCGCAGGTGGGTTGGCCCATGCAGAAGGACACACACACACACACACACACACACACACACACACACACACACACACACACAAACGTTTTCCAAGGTTCAAACATTTGTCATCTGCAAAATCAATGAATGAAGTCACTGAAGATGATCTTTACAGCCGAGAGGAAGTCAAATACTGGTACACTCCCTAATCCGAGTTTCATTCTGAGAAATAATGTCAGAGGCACAACAAAATCACAACCTGAGCCAATGAAAATTGACACTGATGTAAGCATCAAAAGTTTCCGATGTTAATTCTGGAATTCAAAGTGAATGAAACCCTGCTTTTAACATTTTGATTGAATCGGATGAAATTGGACTGTATGTTCACCCGTTGGCTGGCAAACAGATGAGGGTGTACCCTGCTTCTTGCCCAAAGTCAGTTTGGTATAAGCGTCATCTTACATGGGACCCTCATGAGGATCAGTAGTTTGGAAAATTGATGTATTGACTTGTAATTTTGCTCACCCACTGTAAAATATATATATTTTTTAATTTACTGGTAATTGTCATTTGACGCATTGTCACTCATGCAGTATTTCACGAGGAATAGCAATCCCTATAAGAGAAAGTGAGAAGTTGAAAACCGTTGGGTCACCTTCAGAGTTGAAAACTATTTTTCGACTGCGAAACAAACTATTGCCATTAAAAAAAACAATATGCCATTTCGAAAGAACATTTCTTACTGGTAAATGTGAACTGGTGAATGTTTTAGTCATCTTCAAAAAAAAAAAAAAGTACCATTAATTTTTAAAGAGCAGCGAATCAGTCTTTTGGAGGCCCGACACAAAACACACACACCTCTTTGACATTATCTTCTCCATGTTTGGAAACTGAGTGTTCGGACATCATCAATGTATTGAGCTGCCACTGAGCCACAGGGCACCATTCTGAATGACATGGAAGAACAAAGAGTGCCCTTGGACGTTGGCATGGATCTTTACTGTGTGTGTGTGTGTGTGTGTGTGTGTGTGTGTGTGTGTGTGTGTGTGTGTGTGTGTGTGTGTGGGGGCGTGCGCTTCCTCGAGGGG